TGAAACCTTATTCTGGCATGGAGCTGGACATGGAGGCTCACACTTGTAATCCTACCTTAGATCAGGAGGATTAAAGTTCAAGGCCATCCCAAGCAAAAAGCCCTTAAGAAACCCACTCAGTCAGTAAAAAGGTAGATACGGTGGTGTGCCCTATCATCTTAGCTAAGCAAGCAGAAGGAGGATCGTGGTCCAGACTGAGACCCTGTGGCAAAAGACAACTAAAGCAAAAAGTGCTTTGGTTGTGGCTTAGTTGGTAGAGCACTTGCCTAGCAAGCTCAAAGAAAGCTCTGAATTCAAACACCAGAGCTCAAAGCTCTGAATTCAAAAACGATCTTCAGAGGTATAAAATCAAGACATGAAATCTGCAGATGATGCTTTGGTCACAGTCACTGCAATTGCTTTTTTACTTTTGCACAGATGTTAGCCCTCCCCAAACAACTCACTCTGAATAATTTAAATGGACTCTTCTTAGCTGTCCACAATCAGTTATTTCTGGTTCACGTTAATGTATCTTGCTGCTTCTGCCCAGGCAGCTGTTGTACCTGCTTCTCCTGAAAACACAAGTCTCATTAAAATGTCATGCTGTAGGCATACTTCATCTCCAAGGTAACGTTCTTGATATAGGGACTTTTTTTTTGGAGGGGGGGTGGAGAATACACATAACTTTCTTTCTTTGCTTATAGAAATTGAACTCTACTTTGTTATTCAGTGCAGGTCAGTCTTCTATTGGGTGGTACGTGGTTTTGATATAATTTTAAATAGAGCTAGAGGGGACCAAGAGTGTTTCTATGTTAAAAGATCTGTTTTATATAAGACTAGAAGCAGTCACAGCCAGAGTAAATAAATGACCTGAAGTCCTGTTACCCGATTGATATCGCATGCCTTTATATCTAAATTGTAATATAGACTGGTGGCTGTCTTGTATCTGTTCTGCTTACCTATTCTTCTGTCTTCTTCTCCTCTGTCTGTCTTTCCCTACTTGTCCATGTAACAGCTCCACAAGGCATGTGGACGGTTCTGAGGAAGGTTTTGGAGGCCCTTCTTCCCTCTCCTCTCCTGGCAGATACAGTGGTGCAGCACTCAGCAGGGCAGCTGCCGCTGTGTCTGCTGCCCTGGCAGCAAGAACCAGGTAGAACCACAGATTGTCTCAGCATCCTCCTGGTTTGATGTCACTTCCGGGCAGCACACCCATTTGAGATGGTTGGAGCTCTGTGTGAGCCTTGCACTGTGGGGTGGATATTTTTTTTTTCCAGCTTGTGAGTAAATCCCAGGGGGTGATGGTTGTTGTTGTAAAAATCATCCATATTTCTCCATTGGTACCACCTATGTACAGTTTTTCTCTGTAGTAAAGATGACTGCAAGTCGTGTGCTTACGGCCTTCAGAGTGTTCATAATTTTCAGTGTCAGGTTTTTTTTTGTTTGTTTCTTTGTGTTGGTTTTGTGCCAATACTAGAGCTTAAACTCCAGGTGCTTTCCCTGGGCTTTTTTTCACTGAAGACTAGTATTTTACTACTTGAGCCACAGCCTCACTTCTGGATTTTTGCTGGTTATTCAGAGATAAGAGTCTCACAGAAACTTTGCTGCTAAGTTTAGCTTTGAACCTTGATTTTTCAGCTTTCATTTCCGAGTAGCTCGGATTACATGAGCCACTGACATCTACCCAATTTTCAGTGTTTGCATTTGACGCGGAATCAAGTAGAAGTGAAGTTTCTGTTGCTATTATCTTTACCCAAAACCCGAGGGTGGAATGTATAACCTAACTGCTCTGCCAGATATCCTTTCCTACCTATCTACCCCCCAAAGAGTTAAATAGTTTTATGGGTTATTCTTTTTTACATTTCTGTATCTTTCTAGTTTTAATTGCTTTCTAAAAGATTGCCTTGCCAAATTTTAGTGACAGTTTATTCAACTTTATCTAAGTGAGTAGAATAATACAGTGAGCCCAGAGGTATCTTGATCTCAAAGGAAGTATTTCAATCACGACTCTTACAACCTACTTTCTCCTATTAGCAGCTATAACTTTTCACTTATAACTCTTTTTCAAATGCTTGCCAGGCTCTCCAGTGCTGAAAGGTCTCCCTCTCTCCTGGCTGCACTTTGCATCAGCCCTGTTTCCAAGCCTTTAGCTTTTCCCTATCTTCAGTCCACCAGGACATCATCTGGCTCTCTCCAGGTTAAAGAAAGCAGGTAATGTGAGAGCAGATGGGTGCTTGCCGTGTTGCTTTCTCTTAGACTCAACCACAGTGTAAACTAGCAGAATCCTGGAGCTGATTTCTTCCCAGTTGTAAATTAACTGTAATCTCAATGCAGTGCTAATTTACCAGCTTTTATTTTGTATGGCAATGAGCTCACCTGCTATTCTTTTGTGATACCTTTCATTGGCACACTTGGTGTTTGGTATGAAATGATGAGTAATGACACTAATATTTAATTAAGCCTAATATTGTCATGTATTGCATGAATATAATAAATGACTTTAATACATTACAGACTTTTCTACTTGCTAGGCAAGTAAAAACTATACTAATCAAATGGCAAGTAAGATACAGTTTTTGGAATCATGTAAAAAAAGAATCATTAATTTGGGTTGGCTACTCTCTTAAAGTTGTTCAGCATGTAGATTTTGCTTGAAAAGGTAACTTAAGTTTTACCATCTGAGTGCTACTTGAGTTAGTTTTCGGTTGTTGACAAAATGTGTGAGAAAAGCAATTCGTCCAGGGGGAAGGTTGGCTTTGACTTAATGGAATCAGAGGTCTCAGTCCATTGTTGGCTGGCTCTGTGGCATGTGGGTCTGTGTTGGGGCAGAGCATTAAGGCCAGGAGGGAGGGTGAGTAAAGCTGCCCCCTCCCCATGGAGTGTCAGGACATTAGATAGTGAGGAGGGGCTGTGTTCTTATATCCCCTTCTAGAATACATTCCCATGGGCCTGCCTTATTTCCTGCCTTCCTGCCTTTTAGTAATGCATGTTGTCACCAGCTGGTATACAACCACGAGCCTATAGGGCATGGTAAATCCAAGCAGGGTTAAAATGCATTGATCAATTTTTCTCCTATACCTAATGATTAGGCCTAAAACTATCAAGTATAATGTGTAAGTACAAAACAGATCTTAAGTAGTTTCTAAAAGCATAATCTCATTGAATGAACCCTATAAAATTAATGGCAGATTATAAACTGTGGTACTAACTAGTGTGTCTGTATTTTATAGATAGATGATCTATCATCTAGCTAGCTACAGACTGATCAATCAATCATCTGATGTAACAAGTTTGTCTATTAGGTACTTGCATCCTCTCCAATGTTATGGAAAAATGATTTGTTACAGTTCTGGATTACTTTTTGTTTTTTAAATAGCAGTGGAGTTTGTACTCAGAGCTTTTTACTTCCTAAGCAAGATATCTATCTGTGCCACCCACCGATTCCTTTCTTTGCATTAGGTTATTATTATTATTATCATTATTATTATTATTATTTTGCCAGTTGTGGGGCCTGAATTCTGGGCCTGGGCACTGTCCCTCAGCTCTTCAGCTCAAGGGTAGTGCTCTACCACGTGAACCACAGCGCTACTTCCAGCTATTTCTGCTTATGTTGTGCTGAGAGATCAAACCCAGGGTGTCATGCATGCGAGGCAAGCACTCTACTACTGAGCCACCTTTCCAGCCCAACATTAGGTATTTTTTATAGAGGGGCCTCACTTCCTACTTTGGCCAGAGTTTGAATCATGATCCTATTTTATGCTTTTCACAACAGGTGGCATGACCAGTATACACTATCATACCCAGCTTCTTCCGTAGAGATGAGTCTCACAGACTTTTCTGCCTATATTGTCTTGTGGTCCTCTTGACCTCACCTTTGTATGAAACAAAGATAATAGCATGTGTCACTGTGTACAGCTATTGGTTGAGAAAGGGTCTCACAAATTTTGCCCAAGCTGGCTTGGAACGTCAACTCTCTTGATCTCAGCCTACCATATCTCTAAGATTATGAACATGAGCCACCAGCCCCTGGTTTATTTGTTTTTTGACTACACTTTCAGAACTCAATAGAATCCTATGGCTCTTCTCTCCAAAACAAAAAAAAAAGTTGTGTTTCCAGTACACACAGAAGTGTGCATGCAGTTGCTGAGTAGCTCTTCATCCACCCAGTTCTAGAGTAGTCACTACCTTTGCTTTTCACTAACAATAGTATAGACAAAGTATACTTTGAAGTTTGGTAAAGGGAAATGAAGTGCTTTATGTTAGTTTCTTAGTAGGGAACAAGGGGCAAGGTGGATATTATTGCTACTCTTGTGAATCATCAATAGGATTTGATGGGCACAGGGTGGGGAAAGTACCGGTTATGTAAAGCTTGCAAAAGATGTCAAATTTAGAACAGGGAGGCCAGTATACAGGATGGGAAGCTGATAACTATGGTCGAGAGAAAGTCATGGTAGTCTAGTCCCTTTTTACCCCGATGTTAATGGTACAACACTGGCATTGTCTTAGACAAGTGCTGCCATCTCTCCCTTAGTACCAGGCGGCCAGCGGGTAGCACAGTGTGTGGCTTATACTGGGGATTTGAACAACAGAGTGCCTGACTAAGCTGACAAAAGAAAGGTCCAGCCAGTCCCGTGTCAGAGAAACTTAGTTCATAAAGAAAAACAGGAGTGTGCAAAAGGCACTCATTAATGTCATTTCATAGCGGTTACCATGGCCTTCATCTAGATGGTTCTTCTGAACCGTGGATCGAGTAGCTAACGGTTTAAATGGATCGGTCACTTGTACTTCTCATGAGCCAATTTCTTACGGTATTTCTTTTAAAGAGAATTTCCAAAGTATAGAACCAGTGCTACCAGGCTCCTTATCTTTTCCTACTCTTTTTTTTTTTTTTTTTCATTTAAATGAGAGCAATTCATCAGTCATTTCATTTCCCTTCACAATTTAATGGATTTGGACAGGAGAGGAGTGTTGCTAGGGGAAGTTGTTACGGCCTCACCAACAATGTCTCCTTGTTTGGGTTCCAGCCCCACTGAGCACCCCACTTCGGCAGGAGCCTCACCCCGGATGGTGTGTGAAGGTGCGGACAGCACAGGCGTGGGCAGACCCGGGGCGGCCAGCCTTACCACCGCCGCTGCCTTCAGACCCGTAGCATCCACCGGCGTCATCAAACCACCCAGCTGGCAGCGGCCAAGCCAAGCAGGTATGCCAAAGAAATCTCTTACTCCTGGCTTTTCCCAAGTGAGTGCAAGTATGAAAGTGTGTTCTGGGATATACGACAGAATTCCCTAGTAAATCCTGTTCTCAGCCATCTGAGATGCAGATCAGACGACGAAGAGTAACTCTACCTATTATAGTCTTTGAAATGTCTCTGGAACATTCTCCATATCTGATACAATTCAGTGTGTCATTCGTTACCTTGTTTTCTAGTAACACAGAAAGCAGGTTTGGAATTGTAATCTTGGAGTCTTACTCATGACAAACTACTGTTGAGAGGTTCCCTTTGGAAACCGATCGTTTTGGTCTTTCTGATGTGTACAAACAACAGACACATCTAAGCTGTGCTAAATGAGTTTTCCATCCCTGTGACAAAATTCCTAAACAAATCATCTTAAGAGAGGAAGCATTTATTTGAGAACTTCAGAAACTGAAGGGAGGATATGAAGTAACCATACTTGCTCTTCAAAGATTTATGGTCTATTCTGCCTCTTACTAAAAGGAATTCCTTGGTAATACAGTACAACAAAATTGCCACTAGAGGGCAATGGAATCCTTTATTCTAGATTTTTCAGAATAAGCAGCATGCAAATACCAGCAGCTGTGATTCAAACGCTTAAAATTTAAAAGATTATGCTCCCCCTACTGCCCAAGAAAGTATGAGTGAATTTACTCTGAAAAAAACATGAGCGTAAAACATATATAAAATAGAACAACAACAAAAAAAAACAACCAGTATTATCAGAATATTTTCCCATTGGGAAATCAGTGAAATCTATCACAATCTCTAGCTGAAATCAGAAAGAATTTCTTGAGCTTCTCATACTTCTCTTGTTCTAGGTTTTAGAAACCTACAAGCAGACAAAGAGACATTTTGGGCCCCAAATAAAGTATTTTTCTCTCCCCTAATTTACAGGTTAAAAAATAGTTTCAAGATAGATTTTTAAAAAGCATTTTAGTCATTCTTCTGTTTATTGAGGGGTGACTAATGCATTTTTTTAAAGTTATGTGCTAAAAAACAAAGACGAAAGAAACAGCAGAAAGGCCTGGGTGAAACTTGAAGATCTTCAAGGGTATTTTGAGCCTGTCATCAGTTTTTTTAATAGCCAATGAAGTTCTGACTTTAAATCTCAGGTCATTTCACTTGTGGTGTTAGGTAGCTTGTATTACCCAGAAATCTTTCAAGCACTCAGTAATGCTATGCCAGTTGATAATTAGGCACTAGGTGTGTATGTAACAGCATTATAGCTTAAACTGGATGATCTTTTTCTCAGGCATATAGTTTAACATACACCCACTCACTCCTGTTTCCCCCACTTTCCCGCAGACTTGCCGGCCACTCAAAAGATTGGATATTTTAGGATGCATAATGTTTAGAGGCCAATATTCTAGATGAAAATAGTAAGATTCAAAAAAAGTCAGAGAATCAAAGCTTGACTTTCATATCAGCTAGCAATACTACTGGCTTGTTGCCTTCTGTGATCAGGGAATATGGCTCCTGTGGTAGAGCACCTTCCTAGCAAGCATAAGATCCGAAGTTCAAATCCTAGGTGTATGGCTACCTCCAAAAAAACAAAAAAAGGCTACTTTCGTAACTAAGATTTAGTAATCTTAGAAACGTTGACCTGAATCTAGAAAAGTACATAAAAGTTGAGATTTTTCTTCTTTTCAGAATTGCGAATTTGTACTTTTTTACATTTAATTTACAATATTTGCATTTTTATTAACTTTTTCTGCACAAAATGTTCATATGGTATATGATGAAGTGGTGATTGTATCCATTGTTTTCAAAATCTTGGTGAATTTAATGGTAAAAGTAAGAAAAAAATGCATCCCTGTGTTTGTTTATATGTGACCTAGTTTTCTGTGTAGGTTTTTTTAAGATTCTATTTAAATTTTGGGTACCAGGTTAGGTATATTTAGCTCATGACATGCAAATATAAGTACAAAATATAATTGTACCAAATACAGTCAAACATTCCACACATATGCAGTATTAAGTGTAAAAAAACCCATTATAGGTTAGAATAGATTAATTTGCTAATTTTGTTTTAATTACCCAGAAAATTAAAATGATGTATGTACAGGAATATAAGCAACACTTTGCTAGATCAGGCCCAGTCAATGAACCCAGTTTTCTGCCAGATGGTGACCCTAAAGAATAGCAATGGCATATGCTGTATGGGTTGTAAAAGGTCATCTTTATTCTTATTTTAATCAGAAGTTGGTATATAGTGAAAGCTAGTCTTGAACTTGAGATCCTTCTTTAGCCCCTAGAATTATAGGCATATCCCACCATGCCCAGTTCTGAGGCTAGCATTTGTGAGTCTGCCTCTTCTTCATCTATTATAGAAGGATCTTTCAAAGTCTTGTTCAAAGTATTGTTATAGTAACTAAGTGATATAAAATATTAAAGTACCTAGTTCATAGAGAATAGGAAAAAAATTCTGCCTTCTAGTTTTTTGTGATGACATTGATAAATTACTTACAGTGTTACCATCTAGCACATCTGATGGCATGTGTCTACTCTACCTGAAAACGTTCTGAGCCGCGGTGGATTGTGTCATGAGACTTTTTTTGTTTCATATTATTCTTTTTTTTAAATTTTTTTTATTGTGAAAATACCAGACAGAGGGGTTACAATTACACGAGCAAGGTAATGAGTACATTTCTGATCAAGCATTGTTGCCTCCTCCTTTGTTTCCCCATACCATCCCTTCCCAGCTCCCCCTGCTGTGAGACTTCTTAACAGGGCTATCATCTCCCTAGTAGCCAGCGCCCACCTTCTTCAGCCTAGCTGTGGAAGATTGCTCTTGTATTGCAGCCCTCCCAGGCTGAAGCTTACACTTATGCATCCATTCCTTGATCACACCTTCTCTACCACATGCAAGGCCACATGTAAGCTGCTGCTTTAATTTGAAGTGCATTCCCATCCCTTCAACCCCTGACTAACCTCCATTCACAAGTTTAGTTGTCACCTCTATGAAGTCTTCTGGAGCCTTTCACTAGTTATCTAGTCTTCTCTACTCCTACAAACCTGGTCATACCTTTATCATAACACTTACATGTTCTATTTAGTTGTTTATGTGTGTGTCTTTACCATGAGTTTTATGTCCCTTGAAGGGCAGGAACCAATGCCTCCCAGTCTTCATTTTACAGTACCTGAACAGTTGAAAGCTTTCAGTGACTGAGTGGGTGAAGAGATCAAGCTTTCTTATTTTAGAAATTTGCACGTAAATCAAAGGACATGACATTCTTTTGTCAAGATGTCTGTCTTCGTACTGGACTTGAAATTTCCCCAAGAGTCACTGTCTGCTAAGGCAGCTATAAAAATACCAAATTGCTCATTAGGTATTAATCTGCCATATGAGTTAAACATTGCAGGGCTGGGAAAATAGCTAAAGGTATAGAGTGATTATCTGGGAAGCATAAGGCCCTGAGTTCAAACCCAACTGCTGCCAAAAAAAGGGAAAAAATCTAATTCCCCTCATCTGAATGGGGAACAGGTGTCCTTCCTTCCTTCCTTCCTTCCTTCCTTCCTTCCTTCCTTCCTTCCTTCCTTCCTTCCTTCCTTCCTTCCTTCCTTCCTTCCTTCCTTCCTTCCTTCCTTCCTTCCTTCCTTCCTTTCTTTCTTTCTTTCTTTCTTTCTTTCTTTCTTTCTTTCTTTCTGTCTTTCTTTCTGTCTTTCTGTCTTTCTTTCTTTCATCCTACTTTATCTTCAGAAAAAGAAAAAGAACTAGAGGTGATAGGCATAAGAAGTACTAAAGTTAATCATGTATTTGTGAGATTAACAAATGAACAACAATTCTAGAGCTCTGTGGTAAGCTCATTTTCACTTCAAAGAATATGGCCATTTATGGCTCACAGCACATGGGGCCCAAGTACTGGAGTATAACAAATGTATAGAGAGGTAGTCCCACCTGTTTTATCATCGTGGACAAGTTAATTTGGATGTAAAGTACTGCGTTTAACACAGAAATCAGCAACAAACATGCCAAGAAAAGTTAAATGAGATTATATATGGCCCAGACCAGAGGGCGTAGACATGGAGATCAATGTGGAAAATGAAATATCTAAATTTCAGAGAATACAGTCTTGAGATAAGACATGCATTTGTTTATAGTGAAAACTTACTTAATTCAGGAAGGACACTTTTTCATGTTTGTGCCGAAAACAAAAGCACTTTCAGTCAACATTTTTAGGAAGAGATGGAGTTGGAGACTGAGCTAATGTGTACAAAATTTCCCTTCCCCCACTTGCTTGCTCCTTGATTGTTCAGATAAGATTTTCCTTAATTCAACTCTTTAGTATACTATGCCTCTGGTGTATGTTACATTTTAGAAATAAAGGAAATGTCTTTTCACTTTGTTATGGACAGAGCATTGGAGAGATCTGATAGGTCATTTCTTTTTCTTGAGGAATACTCAGATATACTTGCGTGATTTGATTAAATCAAAGGCTGAATAATGTGCATCTCAGCTATAAGTAGATATAAAATCTATCTTTTATTTGAAGTCTAAAGGAGATAGGGGTGAGAAAGGAAATGACTATTGCTACAACCATCCCAAATTTCATTGTAGGCTTTTGTGCTACACTAATAAATCGAGATAACTAGATTTGCTTAGCTAAGATGGATAGATTTATTGGTTCCATTTTTAAATTTTTATGTGAATAAGTAAACTGCTACCAGTTGCGTGAATTTCATCTCTTCTAATAGTGTTTTATTGCCAGCTGCTCCCCTGCATTTCGACATCATTAAATGAAACAGCACACTTGCCACAAAAACCCTCAGCAGAGCTGTCCATTGTCAAAACAAGTGCACATTTGTGAGCGCTCTTCTTGACTGCCACTCTCCTTTCATCAGGACTTAACAAACTTTTCATAAAGAAAGACATCTAGATTTATTCATAGAAGCTTTTCATAAAGTATTATTGCATCTTATTATTAATTGGTGTATATGGTTTAAATTAATCACTGATAAAATGA